CAACCTGGCCAACATGGCAAAACCCCATCTCTACTAAAAATACAAAGTAATTAGCCGGGCACGGTGGTGTGTGTCTGTAATCCCAGTTAATCAGGAGGCTGAGTCAAGAGACTCACTTCAAGTGGAGATAAGATAACTAAATAAAATAAAACGGTGAATGGATAAACAAATTGTACTGCCATACAATGAATTATGAGTGCAATACAATCGAATAAATTACCAATGCATTGCAATAATAAGAACACAAATCTCAGAAGGGCACAGTGGCTCAAGCCTGTAATTCCAACACTTTGGGAGGCAAAGGCAGGAGGGCTGCTGGAGCTCAGGAGTTCCGGACCACCTTGGCAAAAATAGGGACACTTTGGCTCTACTAATTTAAAACTCAGCCTGGCATGGTGGTGAGCACCTGCAGTCCCAGCTATTTAGGAGAACTGCTTGAGCTCGGGTCATCAAGGCTGCCATGAGCCATGACTGTGCCACTGCACTCCAGCCTGGGCGATAGCACAAGACCCTGTCCCCCACCACCCCCACCAATCCTCCCCCACAAAAAAACAAATCTCAAAATCACTATGCTGAGCAAGTGAGACAAGAGTGCATCCTGTATGATGACCCCGCTTACATAAAATTCTGGAAAAGGCAAACTAACACATAGAGACAGAAAGCAAGTGAGTGGCTGCCTGAGGACAGAGGCAGCGGACATATCGCAAAAGGTCAGGAGGAAGCTTGAGGTGATAGTGTTCAGTATCTGGACTATGGCAGTGATTTCAAGATTGCCTACATATGTGAAAATCATAATTAAATTGTACATGTCAAATATGTGCAGTTTGCTGGAAGGAGCTTTAACAAAGTTAAAGGAAAGTTTTTAAAACCTTGGCTGTAGGAAAAAGGAAACCAGTTTTACATGGCAGCATTTCCCATAAGCCACATCAAAATGGTAACAACTTGGGGTGTGGTGGTATGCACCTATAGTCCCAGCTACTCCAGAGCCTGGGGCAGAAAGGTGACTTGAGCCCAGGAATTCCAGGTTATAGTGGGCTGTGACTGAGTCACTGCACTTCTGCTGGAGAACAAAGTAAGACTTTATCTCTCAAAAATAAAATAAAAAGCAAATGACAAATAGAGAAAAAATATTCATAACTCATGTCACAAAAGGCTGATGTTATTAACATTCCGCAGATCAGTATGACTAACAATTCAAACAAAAGAAAGCAGAGCCAGATGAGGTGGCTCACGCCTGTAATCCTAACACTTTGGGAGGCCAAGGTGGGTGGATTACAAGGTGAGGAGTTCGAGATAAGCCTGGCCAATATGGTGAAACCCCGTCTCTACTAAAAATACAAAAATTAGCTGGGCGTGGTGGTGCTTGCCTGTAGTCCCAGATACTCAGGAGGCTGAGGTAAAAGAATCACTTGAACCTGGGAAGTGGAGTTGCAGTGAGCCGAGATCCTGCCACTGCACTCCAGCCTGGTGACAGAGCAAGACTCCGTCTCAAGGAAAGAAAAAAAGAAAAGAAATAATCACACTTACCTATCAGGTTTCCAATAATCAAAAAGCTCAAAAACATACTTTTAATTTTCTTTTTGAGATAGGGTCTCACTCTGTCATCCAGGCTGGAGTGTAGTGGTACAATCATGGCTCACTGTAGTCTCCACTCTCCGGGCTCAAGTGATCCTCCCACCTCAGTCCTCAAAGTAGCAGGACTACAGGTGTGCACCACCTTCCCCAGCTAATTTTTGTATTTCTTTTTTTTTGTTTTTGAGACGAAGTTTCGCTCATGTCACCCAGGCTGGAGTGCAATGGCACGATCTCGGCTCACTGCAACCTCTGCCTCCTAGGTTCAAGCAATTCCCCTGCCTCAGCCTCCTGAGTAGCTGGGATTACAAGAGCCCACCACCACAGCTGGCTAATTTTTGTATTTTTAGTAGAGATAGGGTTTCACCATGTTAGCCCGGATGGTCTTGAACTCCTGACCTCAGGTGATCCGCCCATCTCGTCCTCCCAAAGTGCTGGGATTACAGGTGTGAGCCACGTCGCCCATCCTAATTGTTTTATTTCTTTATAGAGAGGGGGGGTCTCCTCATGTTGCCCAGGCTGATCTCAAACTTTTAGGCTCAAGCAATCTACCTACGTCAGCAACCCAAAGTGCTGGGATTACAGGTACAAGCCACATTCCCTGGCCAACATACCGTTTTTTGTAAAGTAAAAAACTACTGTTCGTAAAAATGTGGAAATATAAATAGGCTGCAATGAGACGGCAGTCAAAATTATGAATGCAAATACCCTTCTGACTGAGCAATGTCACTGCTGAAGTTTATCCTACAGATAAGTTTAGCGTATGTGCAAAATTACCTAAGTAGCAGGTCACTCATTTACTCCAACATTATTTGTTTCGTTTGTTTGAGAGACAGGATCTTGCTCTGCTGCTCATGCTACAGTGCTTGACTGCAGCATCAAATTCCTGGGCTCAAGTCATCATCCCACATCAGCCTCCCAAGTAGCTGGGACTACAGACACATGCCACCATGCCCAGCTAAAGTATTCAACAGGTTTTTTTTTTTTTTGAAGACAGGGTCCCACTCTATCACCAAGGCTGAAGTACAGTGGCGCAATCACAGTTCCTCCACCTCCTGGGCTCAGGTGTTCCTTCATCTGATTCCCAAGTAGCTGGGACTACAGTGCATGCTATCATGCCCAGCTAATTTTTTGTAGAGTTGGGGTTTTGCCATTTTGCCTAGGCTGGTGCTGGGCTCAAGTCATCTGCCCGCCTTGGCCTCCCACAGTGCTGGGATTACAGGCGTGAGCCACCGCACCCAGCCTCTGGCATTATTTGTAATGGCCATGAGACTGAGAAAACACTTTATGTCCATCAATGGGAGATTTGATAAAATAAATTAAGGCACACCTTAGAGAATACTCTAAGAAAAAGAGCATTTTAAAAAATGCTCTAAAATTAATCACTTTCGTACCAATACAAACAGATCTCCAAGTTGTACCAAGTAGAAAAAGGGAAGGTAGGCTGGGTGCAGTGGCTCATACCTGTAATCCTAGCACTTTGGGAGGCCAAGGCGGGTGGATCACAAGGTCAACAGATTGAGACCATCCTGGTCAACATGGTAAAACCCCGTCTCTACTAAAAATACAAAAAATTAGCTGGGCATGGTGGCGCGTGCCTGTAATCCCAGCTACTCGGGAGGCTGAGGCAGGAGAATTGCCTGAACCCAAGAGGCGGAGGTTGTGGTGAGCCGAGATCGGGCCATTGCACTCCAGCCTGGGTAATAAGAGTGAAACTCCGTCTAAAAAAAAAGGGAAGGTGTGGAGTAGTGTATATGTTGAATACCACTGAATTGAAAAGTTTTATGCGAGAAGAACATGTATGCATATCAGTTTGTAAATGCATAATGTGTCTCTAGAAGCTTACTCAAGAAGCTAAAAACATTTGCCTAGAGTAGGGAATTGGCTGACTAGAGAAAAGGTGTATAATTAAATTTTATTTATTTATTTATTTTCAGGCAGAGTCTCATTTTGTCACCCAGGCTGGAATGCAGTGGCACGATCTCAGCTCACTGCAACCTTCGTCTCCTAGAATTAAGCGATTCTCTTGCCTCAGCCTTCCAAGAAGCTGGGAATACAGGCATGTGCCACCATGCCCCACTATTTTTTCTGTTTTTAGTAGGGACAGTGTTTTGCCATGTTGGTCAGGCTGGTCTGGAACTCCTGGCCTCAAGTGATCTGCCCACCTCAGCTTCCCAAAGTGCTGGGATAACAGTTGTGATCCACCACACAAGGCCATAATTAAATTTTAACTTAAAAACAACAAAAAAGCAGTGGCTCACACCTGTAATCCCACCACTTTAGAAGACTAAGGCAGGAGGACTTCTTGAAGTCAGGAGTTCAAGACTAGCCTGAGAAACACAGTGAGACTCTGTCTCTACAATAAAATACATTAGCCAGGTGTAGTTCCAGCTACTTGGGATGCTGAGATGGGAGCATCACTTGAGCCCAAAAGTTTAAGGCTTCAGTGAGCTAAGATCTTACACTCCAGCCTGGGTGACAGAGCATGATCTTGAATGTTAAAAAATAAATGGACCAAAAAAAACGAGATGGGGCTGGAGGGGGAGCTGATGATATGGTATGCAAATTCCAATTTTCCAACACATCCCACCAAAGTTCCTCAATAGTACTTGTACATACACCTGTCAGAACCTCTCTTTCTTTTTTTGAGATGGAGTTTCACTCTTGTTACCCAGGCTGGAGTGCAATGGCGCGATCTTGGCTCACCACAACCTCCGCCTCCTGGGTTCAGGCAATTCTCCTGCCTCAGCCTCCTGAGTAGCTGGGATTACAGGCACGCACCACCGTGCCCAGCTAATTTTTTGTATTTTTAGTAGAGACGGGGTTTCACCATGTTGACCAGGATGGTCTTGATCTCTTGACCTTGTGATCCACCCGTCTCGGCCTCCCAAAGTGCTGGGATTGCAGGCATGAGCCACCGCGCCCAGCCAGAACCTCTGTTTCTGTTCAAATTTAGGCTCCTGGGTTTCAACCTCATACAGAAATAAAAGTCTGTATAATTCAAAAAGAAGGGCTGTATCTTACTAAGGTTTCTATCCTCCACAGCACTGAACAATACCTGCTATCTAGGAGGACCTGCATCTTTGGTTACCTTGGCAAACATTATGGGAATCAGTATGTATTTATTAAGTCTTAACCATACACCTGGCACTGTGATGGCTAAGAGGAAAACCCAGTGAAGAGCTGGTCGGCCAAATAACTCTAAATTAAGAATGAAAATTGACATTAAGTCACCAACATGTCCAAAGGGGCTGTTGCAATACAGAAGTTTGATAGAACAGGATTCCCAGAAATGTTTCTAAAGAATATATGTTTTATCCAATATAAAGAAATCTCTGCTTATAAACTTCATCATTTCATGTACCATTAAGAGAAAAAACACCCAAGATGTGAGACTAACAGGAAATCCACATAAAACTGAAGCTAACAGCTTTGTGCAGTAGCAGCATCATAGCCAATGAGGTTTACCCAAGGCGCGATTATTGCTAATTGAAAACTTTTCCCAATACTCCGCCGTGACGACTTGCAATACAGTCGGCACTGGCAATTTTTTTTTTTAATTTTTAATTTTTATTATTATTTTTAAAGATGGGGTTTCACCATGTTGGTCAGGCTGGTCTTGAACTCCCGACCTCAGGTGATCCACTCGCCTTGGCCTCCAAAGTGCCTGGATTACAGGCGTGAGCCACCACGCCCGGCCGGCAATTTTTGACAGTCTCTACGGAGATTGATTTAAAAAAACAAAACAAAAAAACTGAAGCTAAATAAAAAATAAGCCTTCCATATGGAAGGGTGAACAAGGAGACTTTCATTCTTGTTTCATTTCAGACTTTCATGTTTCATTCCTGACACTAAATGGGAAACAAAAACATCCCCTGAGCATTGGAAACAAGCCACTACCAGTATGGTCCAAAACCCTCAGAGAATATCAACTGGTTACAGGCTGGCAGTACACCCAAGTGACAACACAAGCAAACATGAATTATCTCTGGAAAAACACAGGAAATATGGCATTGTAATCTGTATGAGAAAATTTAGGCACGAAATTTTTTCCAAACACTAAAAACATTCTTGAAATTTCTCATGGCTCATTTTCTAGTAATATTTTCTCCAACTCTACAATTTACATTATGGATTAAAGAAAAATGTGACAAATTTAAAGGCTCTTAAATACAGAAAGAAAACAGTGAAGCATGCTCTATTATCCAAATATATTAATAGAATCTATTAAACTGTTATGAACTGGTCTCACTTTATAGCCAAAAAGGAAGGAAGTTTAAGGTGACTCCCTTCCTCTAATTACAGACTTACTTTATTGCTGCCAACTTTTTGGATAGAGTTCCCTCTGCTGGAATCTTTTAAGAGAAAAAAAAAGTATTAAAGACAATACTTAAAATATTACTTCAAATTAATATTTTAACTGAAGTCTAGATATCGAACTCCAGTACACTGTGATCAAAAACATTCTAGGGAAGTAAATCAAAAATAATCATCCTAATGTTATATGAAACGAAGCCCGTGGCTTAGGATAGGCTTTTCCAACGACAGCATCATATGCAGATTTAACAAAAACCGAGACAAAAGTTAAGATACTGGGCTCTTAAACTGTGTCAGATGCCTCAAACAGCGAGGACGCCAGGAAGAGACACTGACAGTGAAAGACACATGAAAAATTTAAGCAAAAATAACCTTATAAATTAACATTTTATCGTGTATTCTGATACGATTTTATTTTATTTATTTATTTATTTATTTTGAGATGGAGTCTCGCTCTGGCACCCAGGCTGGAGTGAGGTGTAGCAATCTCGGCTCACTGCAACCTCCGCCTCCCAGGTTCAAATGATTCTCCTGCCTCAGCCTCCCGAGTAGCTGGCATTACAGGCGCGCACCACCATGCCCAGCTAATTTTTGTATTTTTAGTAGACACGGGATTTCACCATGTTGGTCAGACTGCTCTCGAACTCCTGACCTCGTGATCTAACCTCCTCAGCCTCCGAAAGTGCTGGGATTACAGGCGTGAGCTACCGCGCCTGGCTCAAATACAATTTTTGGTATGTCTGACTAAACTGATGAATAACATAAGACAACATAAAAGATACCAACCCTGCAAGTTCACAATCTAGGAGCATCTTGAACGTAAATGTCATTTAGGGCAGTTATTATAAATCTTTTCTGGAAAACTTATTTTCTTTCTCAGTGACCTGATAGTTTACATAGTAAAACTAAGAAATTTTAACTATTTCTTCTGTTTGCTGTTTGTCTTGCTCAAATTGCTAACATATTCAAACTCTCAAATCTCAAAAAAAAAAAAAAAACATGTACAAGACATAGAAATGTCCAAATGAGGCTGGGCGCAGTGGCTCATGCCTATAATCCCAGCACTTTGGGAGGCCAAGGTGGGTGGATCACGAGGCCAGGAGTTCAAGACCAGACTGAACAAGATGGTGAAACCCTATCTGTAGTAAAAATACAAAAATTAGCTGGGTACAGTGGCAGGCGCCTGTAATCCCAGCTACTTGGGAAGCTGAGACAGGAGAATCGCTTGAACCCAGGAGATGGAGGATGAAGTGAGCCGAAATTGCACTACGCACTCAAGCCTAGGCGATAGAGTGAGATTCTGTCTCAAAAAAAAATGTCCAAATGAATAATCAACATGTGAATGACATCATCAAAACCCATTTACTGGGTGCCGTCTACACAGGGTCTACATCCCGTTATTTGTTTGCTTTTGTACCTTTTTGTCTGCTGGTTTTTGAGACAGAGCCTTACTTTGTCACCCAGGCTGGAGTGTAGTGGCATAATCTCAGCTCACTGCAACCTTTGCCTCCCATGCCCGCCCCCATGCCCAGCTAAGTTTTGTATTTTTAGTAGAAACAGCGTTTTGCCATGTTGGCATGTTGAGTTCGAATTTCTGAACTCAAGTGATTTGCCTTGGCCTCCCAAAGTGCTGTGTTACAGGCATGAGCCACTGCACCTGGCCTACATCCTGTCATTGAAGATATTAATGAATAAGTATAACACAAGGCAATAAAGAATAATGTAAATGGAAAAATATCATTTAATGAGATAAAGTATCAGAAAAGCCTTGAAGAAGGGACATTTTAGACGCATACTGAAAATAGACAGTCCTTTATAGGCAAAAAGGGTACCTTAAGGAAGGATTCCATGCAAAACAAATGGACTGGCAAAGGAACAAAGGTGAGAAAACCCACGTGTGGAGGAACACAGGATGGGCGGGGCCATACTGGAGAACTGTCAGGTCAGGCTAAGAACTAAGATGTATTTCATTGACAGTGAGAATAATTAACACAGTGCTCAGGTGGTGGTAACCCAAGGAGAAGACAGAGTATCTGTAATCACAGCTTACAGTCTGGTGGAGGAGGCAAACAGCAGTTTCAGTAGAGTGTACTAGGTACATTAATGAAGGATGGGTGCTGCAGAATGCATAGCTGGGACACAGTGGTAGTCTAGAGACTGGGGAGAATCAGGGCAAGCTCCCCAAAGGGGAGAAGGCAATAGCAGGCCCAGTGAGGTATGTGGGGGAACCTGGAGGCCTGTATGTGAAGGGGGTGACATTAATGCAGGGCGGGGGAAGGGACAAGCGTTCTGGGAAGAGCTTCAGAAAGACTGAGTTGACAGCGTTTTGTTGGACAAATGAGAGGAAGACTGAAGGTAGGAACTATAATAGGCCTCCGTGACTATTCTGACAGGATGTAGTGAGAACTTAGGTAGGACAAGGAAAACAGAAAGAAATGACTCATATTAGGATGAAATCACAGTTGAAAAACAGGCAGGGATGGCAAACACTAGCATGAATGCGCCATCGAAGAGTTAAAGGCAACCACAAAACCTGCAGCCTGGGTGCCACTAAATACTATAGAAAAATCAGTAGGCAGCATAGGGTTGGGGTGAGAATAGGCGGAGGTAAGCAGACATACCGAAATCATGATGCTGGCAAGACACCCAGGAGAATGCGTCACCCAAAGGTCTGATACGGGGAAATGGAACTCAGAAGAGCAGGCAAAAAGACATGATAAAAGTGGGAAATAAACACCCAGAAATTACGGGAACTGTCAAAACTTTGGGTACTGTCCACTTGTACAGAAGTGGGCAGTTTTGCCTTCTCTAACATTTGGCAATGCCTGAAGATATTTTCATTGTTCAACTGACGAAAGAGGGTGCTACTAGCATCTAGTGGGTAAAGACCATGGAGGTTACTAAACATCCTATAATCCACAGCGCAGCCTCCAACAACAAAGAATTATCTAGCCCAAAATGTCAACTGTATGGAGGTTGAGAAATCCTATTCTAGAGAATCACATGAGAAGGAGCAACTAGAAATGGAATAGGCCAGGCACGGTGGCTCACACCTGTAATCCCAGCACTTTGGAAGGCTGAGGCAGGCAAATCACCTGAGGTTGGGAGTTTGAGACCAGCCTGGACAACATGGTGAAACCCTGTCTTGACTAAAAATACAAAAATTAGTTGGGTGTGATAGTGCACGCCTGTAATCCCAGCTACTTGGGAGGCGGAGGCATGAGAACTGCTTGAAGCCAGGAGGCAAAGGATACAGGGAGCCCAGATCACACCACTGTACTCCAGCCCGGGAAACAGACAGAACGAGACTCTGCCTCAAAATAATAATAAACATTTCCTATATTCCAACATACATTAATTATGTAATAGTGTCCAAAAATACTTGCTATGGGATGTCAACCATGCCTATGCAGTTAAAAAAAAATGTATGGGAAAATGAAGGATAAATGATACTTATTTCCTGCTCCAAAGAATGTGGCCATAAGTGGTCCAGAGTGCTGGGCCGGTAAAATCCAACTGACTTCTATAAAGTTTTAACATTAAATTGACTGAAATACTTTGTCTGTGCTCAGAGAACAAGGACTGTTTGCAGCAATCATACCCATCTCCCATGCTAAATGCATATTATGGGACATAGGATGAGAAGGCCTAGGATTCCAGCAATGCTAATCAGTGTTAACTTTCTAGCCTATTCTGTTGACACAGCACATAAGTCACCCATCCACCCTCCAAAATACACTGCAGGCTTTCATAGCAAAAGTATCATTTTATTAGATAAATTCACTACCTTTATCATTTACTAGATAAATTAGATAAATTAACTACATTATTTAACAAAGTTCAAGAGTCAGCAATAGGTAATTAGAGCAATTCTACCTATTGATTCAAAAGATTAATGTGAAAAAAGAAAACACAATTCAAGCTCATATTAGTATCCATCGGAGGTATAATGCTTTGCTTTCAATCTTTTATAACCTTTATCACACGTATATTAAGAGTAGACTTAAAACCTCCATCTCACCAACAAGAAGTTAATCTGATTTAAATGCAAAAAAATTTAACATTATGTAATTTTAAGGGGGAATAAAACATACCAGAGAACGGAATCGTACAGATTCTATTTGTCCATACTCTTTAAAAAATGACTTCAGCTTCTAAAATTAAAAAATACACACATGTTAGCTCGCCCTCAGAACATCAAGTGAGTGCTGAAAAAGGAGTAAGTAAATCTGTCTGATAGTCTTCACTGCCGGTTTCGT